TAGTTTTCAATTTCCAACTGAGAAATCTTCCAATTAAATTTGATAATTCACTTTATTGAAATCATACACATGTGTCAGTAGGTATACCCCTAAATGTTCTATATCTTTTTTTTCTACTGTGAATAGATGTTTTCTTCCATTATATTAACTGTACTTCTGTTAGTACTGATATTTAAGAAGGCTCATGGCATATTTATCTTTCATCCAGTTAATTCATTAAACTCATTTATTAATTTTAATAATGGCTTCAAGATTCCATTGCTTTTTTAGACATATAAATATGCCATAAATGATGTTTTATAAATATCTTTTCAAATTTACTTATTTGTTTCATATAGAATTACTTATATTTCTGAAACGTATTAAATAGTAATGATTATGTATGGCAGTGGTGTTATTTCTCACTGTAAAATTTTACATTTTAAAAGACTGTTAAAATAGATCCCATGCATCAATGCTTAATATGAAATTCTTTTTATCATTTAGCCATTATCTTGATAATGGATAAGTTCCACAAACATTGATTCCTGTACAATAATTAGACAGGTGTCTTAGGAAGTAAACAGTTATGTTATTATCAGTTCTACAAACTATACTTTAGCTTTTTGGTTCTTTCTTAATTCTCAGGGAAGTTATAAAAGAAACAGTTTAAAAATGCCACTTTCTTGGGGCGCCTGGGTGACTCAGTCCTTAAACATCTGTCTTCGGCTCGGGTCATGGTCCCAGGATCCTGGGATCGAGCCCCGCATCGGGCTCCCTGCTCCGCGGGAAGCCTGCTTCTCCCTCTCCCTCTGCCCCTGCTTGTGTTCCCTCTCCTGCTGTGTCTCTGTCAAATAAATAAATAAAATCTTTAAAAAAAATAAAAATAAAAATGCCACTTTCTTGACTGCTTTTTTCCCTCCTTTTATATCTGACTGGATCATCATTAATGGGGACAGACTCTAAGAAAACAAAGTTAAAGAGCAAAATCAAAGTAACTGATGATTTAAAGATATTTTAAAAATTGAAAAACAGGGCGCCTGGGTGGCTCAGTTGGTTGGGCGACTGCCTTCGGCTCAGGTCATGATCCTGGAGTCCCGGGATCGAGTCCCGCATCGGGCTCC